TATAACAGCAGTATGTGTTCACGGAGGTGACTTTATATAACAGCAGTATGTGTTCACGGAGGTGACTTTATATAACAGCAGTATGTGTTCACGGAGGTGACTTTATATAACAGCAGTATGTGTTCACGGAGGTGACTTTATATAACAGCAGTATGTGTTCACGGAGGTGACTTTATATAACAGTAGTATGTGTTCACGAGGTGACTTTATATAACAGCAGTATGTGTTCACGGAGGTGACTTTATATAACAGCAGTATGTGTTCACGGAGGTGACTTTATATAACAGCAGTATGTGTTCACGGTGACTTTATATAACAGCAGTATGTGTTCACGGAGGTGACTTTATATAACAGCAGTATGTGTTCACGGAGGTGACTTTATATAACAGCAGTATGTGTTCACGGAGGTGACTTTATATAACAGCAGTATGTGTTCACGAGGTGACTTTATATAACAGCAGTATGTGTTCACGGAGGTGACTTTATATAACAGCAGTATGTGTTCACGGTGACTTTATATAACAGCAGTATGTGTTCACGGAGGTGACTTTATATAACAGCAGTATGTGTTCACGGAGGTGACTTTATATAACAGCACTTTATATAACAGCAGTATGTGTTCACGGTGACTTTATATAACAGCAGTATGTGTTCACGGTCACTTTATATAACAGCAGTATGTGTTCACGGTCACTTTATATAACAGCAGTATGTGTTCACGGAAGTGACTTTATATAACAGCAGTATGTGTTCACGGTCACTTTATATAACAGCAGTATGTGTTCACGGTCACTTTATATAACAGCAGTATGTGTTCACGGAAGTGACTTTATATAACAGCAGTATGTGTTCAGGAGGTGACTTTATATAACAGCAGTATGTGTTCACGGTGACTTTATATAACAGCAGTATGTGTTCACGGAGGTGACTTTATATAACAGCAGTATGTCTTCACGGAGGTGACTTTATATGACAGCAGTATGTGTTCACGGGTGACTTTATATATACAGCAGTATGTGTTCACGGAGGTGACTTTATATAACAGCAGTATGTGTTCACGGAGGTGACTTATATAACAGCAGTATGTGTTCACGGTGACTTTATATAACAGCAGTATGTGTTCACGGAGGTGACTTTATATAACAGCAGTATGTGTTCACGGAGGTGACTTTATATAACAGCAGTATGTGTTTCACGGTGACTTTATATAACAGCAGTATGTGTTCACGGAGGTGACTTTATATAACAGCAGTATGTGTTCACGGAGGTGACTTTATATAACAGCAGTATGTGTTCACGGAGGTGACTTTATATAACAGCAGTATGTGTTCACGGAGGTGACTTTATATAACAGCAGTATGTGTTCACGGAGGTGACTTTATATAAAGTAGTATGTGTTTCACAGTGACTTTATATAACAGCAGTATGTGTTCACGGAGGTGACTTTATATAACAGTAGTATGTGTTCACGGAGGTGACTTTATATAACAGCAGTATGTGTTCACGGAGGTGACTTTATATAACAGCAGTATGTGTTCACGGAGGTGACTTTATATAACAGCAGTATGTGTTCACGGAGGTGACTTTATATAACAGTAGTATGTGTTCACGGTGACTTTATATAACAGCAGTATGTGTTCACGGAGGTGACTTTATATAACAGCAGTATGTGTTCACGGTGACTTTATATAACAGCAGTATGTGTTCACGGAGGTGACTTTATATAACAGTAGTATGTGTTCACGGTGACTTTATATAACAGCAGTATGTGTTCACGGAGGTGACTTTATATAACAGCAGTATGTGTTCACGGTGACTTTATATAACAGCAGTATGTGTTCATGGAGGTGACTTTATATAACAGTAGTATGTGTTCACGGTGACTTTATATAACAGCAGTATGTGTTCACGGAGGTGACTTTATATAACAGCAGTATGTGTTCACGGAGGTGACTTTATATAACAGCAGTATGTGTTCACGGAGGTGACTTTATATAACAGCAGTATGTGTTCACGGAGGTGACTTTATATAACAGCAGTATGTGTTCACGGAGGTGACTTTATATAACAGTAGTATGTGTTCACGGAGGTGACTTTATATAACAGCAGTATGTGTTCATGGAGGTGACTTTATATAACAGCAGTATGTGTTCACGGAAGTGACTTTATATAACAGCAGTATGTGTTCACGGAGGTGACTTTATATAACAGCAGTATGTGTTCACGGAGGTGACTTTATATAACAGTAGTATGTGTTCACGGAGGTGACTTTATATAACAGCAGTATGTGTTCACGGAGGTGACTTTATATAACAGTAGTATGTGTTCACGGAGGTGACTTTATATAACAGCAGTATGTGTTCACGGAGGTGACTTTATATAACAGCAGTATGTGTTCACAGTGACTTTATATAACAGTAGTATGTGTTCACGGAGGTGACTTTATATAACAGTAGTATGTGTTCACGGTGACTTTATATAACAGCAGTATGTGTTCACGGAGGTGACTTTATATAACAGTAGTATGTGTTCATGGTGACTTTATATAACAGCAGTATGTGTTCACGGAGGTGACTTTATATAACAGCAGTATGTGTTCACGGAGGTGACTTTATATAACAGCAGTATGTGTTCACGGAGGTGACTTTATATAACAGCAGTATGTGTTCACGGAGGTGACTTTATATAACAGCAGTATGTGTTCACGGAGGTGACTTTAAATAACAGCAGTATGTGTTCACGGAGGTGACTTTATATAACAGCAGTATGTGTTCACGGAGGTGACTTTATATAACAGTAGTATGTGTTCACGGAGGTGACTTTATATAACAGCAGTATGTGTTCATGGAGGTGACTTTATATAACAGCAGTATGTGTTCACGGAAGTGACTTTATATAACAGCAGTATGTGTTCACGGAGGTGACTTTATATAACAGCAGTATGTGTTCACGGAGGTGACTTTATATAACAGTAGTATGTGTTCACGGAGGTGACTTTATATAACAGCAGTATGTGTTCACGGAGGTGACTTTATATAACAGTAGTATGTGTTCACGGAGGTGACTTTATATAACAGCAGTATGTGTTCACGGAGGTGACTTTATATAACAGCAGTATGTGTTCACAGTGACTTTATATAACAGTAGTATGTGTTCACGGAGGTGACTTTATATAACAGCAGTATGTGTTCACAGTGACTTTATATAACAGTAGTATGTGTTCACGGAGGTGACTTTATATAACAGTAGTATGTGTTCACGGTGACTTTATATAACAGCAGTATGTGTTCACGGAGGTGACTTTATATAACAGCAGTATGTGTTCACGGAGGTGACTTTATATAACAGCAGTATGTGTTCACGGAGGTGACTTTATATAACAGCAGTATGTGTTCACGGTGACTTTATATAACAGCAGGATGTGTTCACGGAGGTGACTTTATATAACAGCAGTATGTGTTCACGGAGGTGACTTTATATAACAGCAGTATGTGTTCACGGAGGTGCGCCATACGTTTTTTCATATTATTAAACAGTATTTCCGCATCGACGAACACACTCGAAGCAGTTGCATAAAGTCTCTACAGAACAGTCCGTGCGTCTCTACTGAACAGTCCGTGCGTCTCTACAGAACAGTCCGTGTGTCTCTACAGAACAGTCCGTGCGTCTCTACAGAACAGTCCGTGCGTCTCTACAGAACAGTCCGTGCGTCTCTACAGAACAGTCCGTGCGTCTCTACTGAACAGTCCGTGCGTCTCTACAGAACAGTCTGTGCGTCTCTACAGAACAGTCCGTGTGTCTCTACAGAACAGTCCGTGTGTCTCTACAGAACAGTCCGTGTGTCTCTACAGAACAGTCTGTGCGTCTCTACTGAACAGTCCGTGCGTCTCTACAGAACAGTCCGTGCGTCTCTACTGAACAGTCCGTGCGTCTCTACAGAACAGTCCGTGCGTCTCTACTGAACAGTCCGTGCGTCTCTACAGAACAGTCCGTGCGTCTCTACTGAACAGTCCGTGTGTCTCTACAGAACAGTCCGTGCGTCTCTACTGAACAGTCCGTGCGTCTCTACTGAACAGTCCGTGTGTCTCTACAGAACAGTCCGTGTGTCTCTACTGAACAGTCCGTGTGTCTCTACAGAACAGTCCGTGCGTCTCTACAGAACAGTCCGTGCGTCTCTACTGAACAGTCCGTGCGTCTCTACAGAACAGTCCGTGCGTCTCTACTGAACAGTCCGTGTGTCTCTACAGAACAGTCTGTGCGTCTCTACAGAACAGTCCGTGCGTCTCTACTGAACAGTCCGTGGGTCTCTACTGAACAGTCCGTGCGTCTCTACAGAACAGTCCGTGCGTCTCTACTGAACAGTCCGTGCGTCTCTACAGAACAGTCCGTGTGTCTCTACTGAACAGTCCGTGCGTCTCTACAGAACAGTCCGTGCGTCTCTACTGAACAGTCCGTGCGTCTCTACTGAACAGTCCGTGCGTCTCTACTGAACAGTCTGTGCGTCTCTACAGAACAGTCCGTGCGTCTCTACTGAACAGTCCGTGCGTCTCTACTGAACAGTCCGTGCGTCTCTACAGAACAGTCCGTGCGTCTCTACAGAACAGTCCGTGCGTCTCTACTGAACAGTCCGTGCGTCTCTACTGAACAGTCCGTGCGTCTCTACTGAACAGTCCGTGCGTCTCTACAGAACAGTCCGTGCGTCTCTACAGAACAGTCCGTGTGTCTCTACTGAACAGTCCGTGGGTCTCTACTGAACAGTCCGTGTGTCTCTACTGAACAGTCCGTGCGTCTCTACAGAGCAGTCCGTGCGTCTCTACAGAACAGTCTGTGCGTCTCTACAGAACAGTCCGTGCGTCTCTACAGAACAGTCCGTGCGTCTCTACTGAACAGTCCGTGGGTCTCTACTGAACAGTCCGTGTGTCTCTACTGAACAGTCCGTGCGTCTCTACTGAACAGTCCGTGCGTCTCTACTGAACAGTCCGTGCGTCTCTACAGAACAGTCCGTGCGTCTCTACTGAACAGTCCGTGTGTCTCTACAGAACAGTCCGTGCGTCTCTACAGAACAGTCCGTGCGTCTCTACTGAACAGTCCGTGTGTCTCTACTGAACAGTCCGTGCGTCTCTACAGAACAGTCCGTGCGTCTCTACAGAACAGTCCGTGCGTCTCTACAGAACAGTCCGTGCGTCTCTACTGAACAGTCCGTGTGTCTCTACAGAACAGTCCGTGCGTCTCTACTGAACAGTCCGTGTGTCTCTACTGAACAGTCCGTGTGTCTCTACAGAACAGTCCGTGCGTCTCTACAGAACAGTCCGTGCGTCTCTACTGAACAGTCCGTGTGTCTCTACAGAACAGTCCGTGCGTCTCTACAGAACAGTCCGTGTGTCTCTACAGAACAGTCCGTGTGTCTCTACAGAACAGTCCGTGTGTGCCGAGAGGTTCGTGCGTTGTGACGCTCAAACGCTCGTCACTATAGACGCAGCATGATCCGGTCTGAAAGCACCATAAAGGCCTCATGTATCTCACTTAACAAGTCTGTCGTGTTAAAGGTGATGTCGGAAACTTCTGTTTTCATTTTTTATAGGAATGCATAGGTTTGACCATGTGTAATTTAGTATTTTTCTAAATCCTATATTAAAATATATGTAAAACAGTCCCTCCAGTAGAATAACCACCTCTAGTGAGGCTGGCACCTGATTGGCTGGGATCGGATAGGCTGGCACCTGATTGGCTGGGATCAGATAGGATGGCACCTGATTGGCTGGGATCAGATAGGCTGGCACCTGATTGGCTGGGATCGGATAGGGTGGCACCAGACTGGCCGGGATCAGATAGGGTGGCACCAAACTGGCTGGGATCAGATAGGGTGGCACCTGATTGGCCGGGATCGGATAGGGTGGCACCTGATTGGCCGGGATCGGATAGGGTGGCATGGACGTACCTGATAGGCTGTCATGGACGGGTACTGGACCATCATGCCTTGCAGAGCAGAGTTGATATTGCTTGGCTGGGGTCCGTTCACAGGGAGGGAGGGGCTCTGGGGCACTGTGGGAGGAGCCAGAGGTGGTTTGAGTGACAGCTGAATTACATAAACATAATGTACATTTCTGACAGTAGGACGTCAAGACACCACAAAGAGAAACACATGAAACACTTTGTTCTTTAACTGTCAGAGTGAGACGTAACAGCAGGAGGCGTACCACTGAGCTGTTCTAAACCCACAGAGCAAAGGGACAAAAGACACAAAGTCCTTCGGCCATTTTCCTGCTGCTGCTAAAATGGCCGCCTGCCTCTGCCTGGCTCTGCTCGCCGAAGGGAAAGCTACTGCCTTAAATGTCAAGGTGACAAAGGGACATTTGGAAACACGTCCCTAATGACAGAGAAGCAGAGGACGTCCTATTGTCCCTGTGTCTCTGAGCGAGCAAAGGGACGCTCTATTTTTACACCTGCCGCCGGCGAGTCCAGGGGACTCTATGGAATCAATAGAATCAAAGCAGGAGGTGGGAGTCTGCTGCAGCCTCATTCTTCTAAAGGTCAGACTCACAGGGACTGGCCTCCTGCTGGGACTCTGAGGAGCACAGGGACTGGCCTCCTGCTGGGACTCTGAGGAGCACAGGGACTGGCCTCCTGCTGGGACTCTGAGGAGCACAGGGACTGGCCTCCTGCTGGGACTCTGAGGAGCACAGGGACTGGCCTCCTGCTGGGACTCTGAGGAGCACAGGGACTGGCCTCCTGCTGGGACTCTGAGGAGCACAGGGACTGGCCTCCTGCTGGGACTCTGAGGAGCACAGGGACTGGCCTTATAAGCCAATGCAGCTTCCTGGGAGTTAGGAAACACTAACTCTGAAATACTTTTGACATTGGCTTAAACAGGGCTTAGAGCTGCTTTACTCACAGATAATATTCCCAGATAACCCCGGCCTTTGCAGGTCTGGATTGTTTCAAACCTGGTCCTGGTCTGGACTACGGTCTACAATCTACAGCACAGGTATGTCTGTACAGTAGGTACATTTTCTGGGTTTATGTGTGAAGTCAGGAAGTTGAAAGTAAGGAGGAGGAGGAGGAGGGCAAGGAGGAGGAGGGGGAGGAGGAGGGCAAGGAGGAGGAGGGGGAGGAGGGGGAGGAGGAGGAGGGCAAGGAGGAGGAGGAGGAGGAGGAGGAGGAGGGCAAGGAGGAGGAGGAGGGCAAGGAGGAGGAGGGGGAGGGCAAGGAGGAGGAGGGGGAGGAGGGGGAGAGGAGGGGGGAGGAGGGGCAGGGCGAGGAGGAGGAGGAGGAGGAGGCCACAGGGTTAGCTCTAATGAAATCCTGCTCTGGATCTGTTCAAACAGACGTCTTATTCTCGGCAGGATTGTATTCAAACGGACACGGCGCTAATTGGACGTTCCCATTGGTCGATCTCCTCTAAACGCCGCGGACGAAGACATTTACATAAAACATGTATCTGCAGACACGAAGAACGGAACAAAACTTTACTTTTCACAGCTTTGTTCGTGCCGTTTGAAAGTCTGAGCTGAGATTTGCAGCTGACATTGGTTTTAGGTGAAGAGGAAAACATATATTTAGAAGTTAGACACGCCCCCAAAGGCTCCTGATTGGACGCAATGAATTCAAATCTTGGACAGACAGTTCCGCATTGGTCGAACTGTTCTCCTCCTGTCAATCTAACTGGTGAGGCTCATGGCTTATAACCTTGTCTGTGGTGATTGCACCGTGTCTGTGGTGATTGCACCGTGTCTGTGGTGATTGCACCGTGTCTGTGATTGCACCGTGTCTGTGATTGCACCGTGTCTGTGGTGTCTGTGATTGCACCGTGTCTGTGATTGCACCGTGTCTGTGGTGTCTGTGATTGATTGCACCGTGTCTGTGGTGTCTGTGATTGCACCGTGTCTGTGGTGATTGCACCGTGTCTGTGGTGTCTGTGATTGCACCGTGTCTGTGGTGATTGCACTGTGTCTGTGGTGATTGCACCGTGTCTGTGGTGATTGCACCGTGTCTGTGGTGATTGCACCGTGTCTGTGATTGCACCGTGTCTGTGGTGTCTGTGATTGCACCGTGTCTGTGGTGATTGCACCGTGTCTGTGGTGATTGCACCGTGTCTGTGGTGATTGCACCGTGTCTGTGGTGATTGCACCGTGTCTGTGGTGATTGCACCGTGTCTGTGATTGCACCGTGTCTGTGATTGCACCGTGTCTGTGGTGTCTGTGATTGCACCGTGTCTGTGATTGCACCGTGTCTGTGGTGTCTGTGATTGCACCGTGTCTGTGGTGTCTGTGATTGCACCGTGTCTGTGATTGCACAGTGTCTGTGGTGTCTGTGATTGCACCGTGTCTGTGGTGATTGCACCGTGTCTGTGGTGATTGCACCGTGTCTGTGGTGATTGCACCGTGTCTGTGGTGATGATATTTCTCTGGAGAGAGTGAGGCGCTGGAAAAGAGACCGGTTCACTGTGAGATTCTCAAAGGCCTCTCAGACAGCGTCCCGGCCCCGGGTCCCGCACCACAACATCTGATACATCCTCCATAGGACATAGAAGTAGTAGCAGTAGCAGTAGTAGTAGTAGTAGTAGTAGTAGTGGTCCTTCCAGACTGCATACTACTGTTACTGTTTAAAAGCACATACACATGTTCCTAAATCCAGAGAAATCTATAGTTGCCAGGTTCCTCACAGAAATCCTCCTTTTCACTTCCACACTGACCCCACAGAGCTGCTCCTGACCCCACAGAGCTGCTCCTGACCCCACAGAGCTGCTCCTGACCCCACAGAGCTGCTCCTGACCCCACAGAGCTGCTCCTGACCCCACAGAGCTGCTCCTGACCCCACAGAGCTGCTCCTGACCTCACAGAGCTGCTCCTGACCTCAAAGAGCTGCTCCTGACCCCACAGAGCTGCTCCTGACCCCACAGAGCTGCTCCTGACCCCACAGAGCTGCTCCTGACCCCACAGAGCTGCTCCTGACCCCACAGAGCTGCTCCTGACCCCACAGAGCTGCTCCTGACCTCACAGAGCTGCTCCTGACCTCAAAGAGCTGCTCCTGACCCCACAGAGCTGCTCCTGACCCCACAGAGCTGCTCCTGACCCCACAGAGCTGCTCCTGACCCCACAGAGCTGCTCCTGACCTCACAGAGCTGCTCCTGACCTCAAAGAGCTGCTCCTGACCTCACAGAGCTGCTCCTGACCCCACAGAGCTGCTCCTGACCTCAAAGAGCTGCTCCTGACCTCACAGAGCTGCTCCTGACCTCAAAGAGCTGCTCCTGACCCCACAGAGCTGCTCCTGACCCCACAGAGCTGCTCCTGACCCCACAGAGCTGCTCCTGACCCCACAGAGCTGCTCCTGGTCATTGAATTGACTCACAGCGTTTCTACTGGAACAGACCCCGATAGTGGTGTGTCTGAGTGTGCTAACGCTAGCTCGCTAAGGTTCTGAGTGTGCTAACGCTAGCTGGCTAAGGTTCTGAGTGTGCTAACGCTAGCTGGCTAAGGTTCTGAGTGTGCTAACGCTAGCTGGCTAAGGTTCTGAGTGTGCTAACGCTAGCTGGCTAAGGTTCTGAGTGTGCTAACGCTAGCTCGCTAAGGTTCTGAGTGTGCTAACGCTAGCTGGCTAAGGTTCTGAGTGTGCTAACGCTAGCTGGCTAAGGTTCTGAGTGTGCTAACGCTAGCTCGCTAAGGTTCTGAGTGTGCTAACGCTAGCTCGCTAAGGTTCTGAGTGTGCTAACGCTAGCTGGCTAAGGTTCTGAGTGTGCTAACGCTAGCTGGCTAAGGTTCTGAGTGTGCTAACGCTAGCTCGCTAAGGTTCTGAGTGTGCTAACGCTAGCTCGCTAAGGTTCTGAGTGTGCTAACGCTAGCTGGCTAAGGTTCTGAGTGTGCTAACGCTAGCTGGCTAAGGTTCTGAGTGTGCTAACGCTAGCTCGCTAAGGTTCTGAGTGTGCTAACGCTAGCTCGCTAAGGTTCTGAGTGTGCTAACGCTAGCTCGCTAAGGTCAGGGGCTAGCTAACATTACAGAGTTTATGAAAAGTATGAATAAAACAGAAGTAAAAGTTTTCTTCTTAGATCTACACTCATTATGTATTCCAATGTAGTTTTTATACTGCACATGGCCAATAAATGAATCTGAATGAATCTATGCAAGACACCTTCCTCACCTGTGTGTGTCTGTGTGTGTGTGTCTGTGTGTGTATCTGTGTGTGTATATGTGTGTGTGTCTGTGTGTGTATATGTGTGTGTATATGTGTGTGTATATGTGTGTGTATCTGTGTGTGTATATGTGTGTGTACATGTGTGTGTATATGTGTGTGTATCTGTGTGTGTATATGTGTGTGTACATGTGTGTGTATATGTGTGTGTCTGTGTGTGTATATTAGAGGTGAAACGGTTCATCACTGATCCGTGATCCGTTCGGTTCAACGTCTTCGGTTCGGTACAGACGTGACCCGCGGTTTGATTTATGAAAAAAAAGTTGTGCGTTGTTCAGTCCACACACAGCGCGGTCATTGCGAGCGGAGGAACGGAGTTAAAGCCCTGCGTCATTTAAATCCCCAGTATGAGAGCATTTTGGCTTCACTGTAACTACACTGATAATTAATATTTGACAAAACTGTCACGATGTGTAAGCACTGTGGCACAAGAAAGACATGAGTGAAAAAAGCGTCTCAACGACCGCTTGTTGTCGCGGCATTTAAGCAGCTCCTTTACGCACAGTCAGACCGGGCTAAAGTCAACTCTCCCGCGCATCCTCAGCTGCGCTCACGACTGACGCTTGGACGTCCCGCGGAACCTATAATACAGCCATTCCCAAACTCAGTAACACCGAGGCCCCCTTAAAAATCTGACGGGTCTGCGTGGCCCCCCAAAATAATAACCAAGAAGACAACATTAAGAATAGGCTCTTCTGGTTATTTTATTTTGGGGAAATAGCCTCTGCTACAAACATTGTAATACAAAAATGATTACAGTGGATTATTCAAGTCAAATAATGAACACAAATATTTTAATATTACAAACAAAACATTATAAATTTAACATTAAATAATTATATATATATATATTTTTTTTTTATGACCTCCCGCGGCCCCCCTGCAGTACCCTCGCGGCCCACCAGGGGGCCGCGGACCCCACTTTGGGAGACACTGCTATAATAGATCCATGAGCGGAACCGCTCACTTCATCACCGCAGACTGGGAGATGAGAAGTCTGGCGCTGAAGACACGCCCCCTCTACGACAGTCACACTGTCACACAGCACAGGTACTGACACACAGCACAGGTACTGACACACAGCACAGGTACTGACACACAGCACAGGTACTGACACACAGCACAGGTACTGACACACAGCACAGGTACTGACACACAGCACAGGTACTGACACACAGCACAGGTACTGACACACAGCACAGGTACTGACACACAGCACAGGTACTGACACACAGCACAGGTACTGACACACAGCACAGGTACTGACACACAGCACAGGTACTGACACACAGCACAGGTACTGACACACAGCACAGGTACTGACACACAGCACAGGTACTGACACAGCACAGGTACTGACACACAGCACAGGTACTGACACAGCACAGGTACTGACACACAGCACAGGTACTGACACACAGCACAGGTACTGACACACAGCACAGGTACTGACACACAGCAGATACTGACACACAGCACAGGTACTGACACACAGCGCAGGTACTGACACACAGCGCAGGTACTGACACACAGCGCAGGTACTGACACACAGCGCAGGTACTGACACACAGCACAGGTACTGACACACAGCGCAGGTACTGACACACAGCACAGGTACTGACACACAGCACAGGTACTGACACAGCACAGGTACTGACACACAGCACAGGTACTGACACACAGCACAGGTACTGACACACAGCACAGGTACTGACACACAGCACAGGTACTGACACACAGCACAGGTACTGACACACAGCAGATACTGACACACAGCACAGGTACTGACACACAGCACAGGTACTGACACACGTACTGACACACAGCACAGGTACTGACACACAGCACAGGTACTGACACACAGCGCAGGTACTGACACACAGCATAGGTACTGACACACAGCGCAGGTACTGACACAGCACAGGTACTGACACAGCACAGGTACTGACACAGCACAGGTACTGACACACAGCGCAGGTACTGACACAGCACAGGTACTGACACACAGCACAGGTACTGACACACAGCACAGGTACTGACACACAGCACAGGTACTGACACACGTACTGACACACAGCACAGGTACTGACACACAGCGCAGGTACTGACACACAGCACAGGTACTGACACACGTACTGACACACAGCACAGGTACTGACACACAGCACAGGTACTGACACACAGCACAGGTACTGACACACAGCACAGGTACTGACACACGTACTGACACACAGCACAGGTACTGACACACAGCACAGGTACTGACACACAGCGCAGGTACTGACACACAGCATAGGTACTGACACACAGCGCAGGTACTGACACAGCACAGGTACTGACACAGCACAGGTACTGACACAGCACAGGTACTGACACACAGCGCAGGTACTGACACAGCACAGGTACTGACACACAGCACAGGTACTGACACACAGCACAGGTACTGACACACAGCACAGGTACTGACACAGCACAGGTACTGACACACAGCGCAGGTACTGACATAGCACAGGTACTGACACACAGCGCAGGTACTGACACAGCACAGGTACTGACACACAGCACAGGTACTGACACACAGCACAGGTACTGACACACAGCACAGGTACTGACCCACAGCACAGGTACTGACACACAGCACAGGTACTGACACACAGCACAGGTACTGACCCACAGCACAGGTACTGACACACAGCACAGGTACTGACACACAGCGCAGGTACTGACACAGCACAGGTACAGACACACAGCGCAGGTACTGACACACAGCACAGGTACTGACACAGCACAGGTACTGACACACAGCACAGGTACTGACACACAGCGCAGGTACTGACACAGCACAGGTACTGACACACAGCGCAGGTACTGACACACAGCACAGGTACTGACACACAGCACAGGTACTGACACACAGCACAGGTACTGACACACAGCACAGGTACTGACACACAGCACAGGTACTGACACACAGCACAGGTACTGACACACAGCACAGGTACTGACACAGCACAGGTACTGACACAGCAGCGGAGGAATGGAAGACAAAGGCCCAGTACTAATATTCCGGTCACAACTGATAATGCCAAAAATTAAATAAATGCAGTGAATGAGGCTGGGCCCAGAATGGAGTCAGGTGGTGTAATATAGGAGAGTAAATATCCTCATAAAGTGCCTTCTTATGTTGCACTTTGTGTTGTTTTTCATTAATTATATTAAATAGACATAATTGGATGGATGGAATATGCCTTCCATCCATCCATCCATTTCCTTCCCCTTAATCCATTTCTAGCTCAGGGGGGGGGGCAGTCAGAGCAGGTGCTGAGTCCACATGAGCTGTGTGTATTAAAAAAACAACACTTTTTTTTTGAAAAATGAACCGAACCGTGATTTTTTCAAACCGTTGCACCCCTAGTGTATATGTGTGTGTCTGTGTGTGTCTGTGTGTGTGTCTGTCTGTGTGTGTCTGTGTGTGTGTCTGTCTGTGTGTGTGTGTCTGTGTGTGTATATGTGTGTGTCTGTGTGTGTCTGTGTGTGTGTCTGTGTGTGTCTGTCTGTGTGTGTCTGTGTGTGTCTGTGTGTGTGTCTGTGTGTGTCTGTCTGTGTGTGTGTGTCTGTGTGTGTCTGTGTGTGTCTGTGTGTGTATCTATGAGGAGACAGCGGAGAAATAATTGCTGTCCTTTGGCTTTGTAGGGCAGTTTCATTTGTCCACTGTCTCGTCCCCAGCAGGGAGGGAACAATCTCCGACGACAAAATGGTGTGTGTGCGATTGTGCGGTGTGTGTGTGTGTGTGTGTCTGTGTGTGTGTGTGTGTCTGTGTGTGTATGGGCCAAAAGGAGTCCCGCAGTGAAGGGAAAACAAAAGCAGAATAATCAAGGCGATGGTTCCCGTGGAGACGTATGAAAGTCATAAAAACAAACAAAAGAACCAGATTCATCGATCTCTTCTGAACAAAAACACTTCTATCACTTTGTTTTACCGTCTGTGAGTTTGTGCGGAGTTTGCATGTTCTCCCCGTGTCCGCGTACCACTAAACACATGTAGGTCTGAATGTAATGAGTGGAGGGTGTTCGGAGGCTTTCATGGTCCAGTGTGTTCATGGTCCAGTGTGTTCATGGTCCAGTGTGTTCATGGTCCATGGTACTGGGTCTGTGGGTGGTACTAGGTCTGTGGGTGGTAGTGGGTCTGGTGGTACTGGGTCTGGTGGTACCGGGTCTGGTGGTACCGGGTCTGGTGGTACCGGGTCTGGTGGTACCGGGTCGGGGGTGGTACTGGGTCTGGTGGTACTGGGTCTGGTGGTACCGGGTCGGGGTGCTACTGGGTCTGGTGGTACCAGGTCGGCGGTGGTACCTTGTTGCTGGGGAAGGCTCTGGGGGCAGCTGTAGGGGGCCACAGGGGGGCGGTAGTGCTGCAGAGGGGGGGGAGGCAGCTGCTGCTGAGACGCACAGTGAGGGTGATGCACCGAGGAGCAGTAACACGCCGACACCTGGGAGCCAATCAGAAGACAGTACAACACATCAGTCACAGGCCAGCTCCAGTCTAAGACCCGCCCCTTTCACCTACACTGCTTTATGATTGGACGGAAGACATCTATCTTTCACAATTGAGCCCCTTTGCTATTGGCCCAAATATTCTCCTCCAACAAATCTACTTGGTGATGGTGAAAGGTGACCAAATGGTATTTCATATTAAATACCACAGATGCCACATAGATGCCACATAGATGCCACACAGATGCCACACAGATGCCACACAGATGCCACACAGATGCCACACAGATGCCACACAGATGCCACACAGATGCCACACAGATGCCACACAGCTGCCACACAGCTGCCACATAGATGCCACATAGATGCCACTCAGCTGCCACATAGATGCCACACAGATGCCACATAGATGCCACACAGATGCCAGATAGATGCCACACAGATGCCACATAGATGCCACTTAGATGCCACATAGATCCCACACAGATGCCACTCAGATCCCACTCAGATGCCACATAGATGCCACATAGATGCCACATAGATGCCACATAGATGCCACTTAGATGCCACATAGATGCCACATAGATGCCACATAGATGCCACTTAGATGCCACATAGATGCCACATAGATGCCACATAGATGCCACATAGATGCCACATAGATGCCACTTAGATGCCACATAGATGCCACTTAGATGCCACACAGATCCCACACAGATGCCACATACAGTGCCTTGCGAAAGTATTCAACCCCTTGAACCTTTCAACATTTCGCCACATTTCAGGCTTCAAACATAAAGATATAAAATTTTAATTTTTTGTCATGAATCAACAACAAGTGGGACACAATCGTGAAGTGGAACGAAATTTATTGGATAATTTAAACTTATTTAACAAATAAAAAACTGAAAAGTGGGGCGTGCAATATTATTGGGCCCCTTTACTTTCAGTGCAGCAAACTCAGTCCAGAAGTTCAGTGAGGATCTTTGAATGATCCAATGTTGTCCTAAATGACTGATGATGATAAATAGAATGCACCTGTGTGTAATCAAGTCTCCGTATAAATGCACCTGCTCTTTGATAGTCTCAGGGTTCTGTTTAAAGCACAGAGAGAACCATGAAGACAAAGGAACACACCAGGCAGGTCCGAGATACTGTTGTGGAGAAGTTTAAAGCTGGATTTGGATACAAAAAGATTTCCCAAGCTTTAAACATCTCAAGGAGCACTGTGCAGGCAATTATATTGAAATGGAAGGAGTATCAGACCACTGCAAATCTACCAAGACCCGGCCGTCCCTCCAAACTTTCATCTCAAACAAGGAGAAGACTGATCAGAGATGCAGCCAAGAGGCCCATGATCACTCTGGATGAACTGCAGATAACTACAGCTGAGGTGGGGATGGTGTGTTCAGGGTGATGAGCTGTGTTGCTTTTTCACCAAACATATCGTTTTGCATTGTGTCCAAAAAGTTTGATTTTGGTTTCATCTGACCAGAGCACCTTCTTCCACATGTTTGGTGTGTCTCCCAGGTGGCTTGTGGCAAACTTTAAGAAACTTTTTATGGATATCTTTGAGAAATGGCTTTCTTCTTGCCACTCTTCCATAAAGGCCAGATTTGTGCAGTGCACGACTGATTGTTGTCCTATGGACAGACTCTCCCACCTCAGCTGTAGTTATCTGCAGTTCATCCAGAGTGATCATGGGCCTCTTGGCTGCATCTCTGATCAGTCTTCTCCTTGTTTGAGATGAAAGTTTGGAGGGACGGCCGGGTCTTGGTAAATTTGCAGTGGTCTGATACTCCTTCCATTTCAATATAATTGCTTGCACAGTGCTCCTTGAGATGTTTAAAGCTTGGGAAATCTTTTTGTATCCAAATCCGGCTTTAAACTTCTCAACAACAGTATCTCGGACCTGCCTGGTGTGTTCCTTTGTCTTCATGGTTCTCTCTGTGCTTTAAACAGAACCCTGAGACTATCAAAGAGCAGGTGCATTTATACGGAGACTTGATTACACACAGGTGCATTCTATTTATCATCATCAGTCATTTAGGACAACATTGGATCATTCAAAGATCCTCACTGAACTTCTGGACTGAGTTTGCTGCACTGAAAGTAAAGGGGCCCAATAATATTGCACGCCCCACTTTTCAGTTTTTTATTTTTTTAAAAAGTTTAAATTATCCAATACATTTTGTTCCACTTCACGATTGTGTCCCACTTGTTGTTGATTCATGACAAAAAATTTAAATTTTATATCTTTATGTTTGAAGACTGAAATGTGGCGAAATGTTGAAAGGTTCAAGGGGGCCGAATACTTTCGCAAGGCACTGTAGATGCCACATAGATCCCACATAGATGCCACTTAGATGCCACATAGATGCCACATAGATGCCACATAGATGCCACATAGATGCCACATAGATCCCACACAGATGCCACACAGATGCCACTCAGATGCCACACAGATGCCACTGCCACTTAGATGCCACATAGATGCCACATAGATGCCACATAGATGCCACATAGATCCCACACAGATCCCACACAGATGCCACACAGATGCCACACAGATGCCACAGAGATGCCACATAGATGCCACTTAGATGCCACATAGATCCCACACAGATGCCACACAGATGCCCCATAGATGCCACTTAGATGCCACATAGATACCACACAGATGCCACTCGGATGCCACACAGATGCCACACAGATGCCACTCAGATGCCACACAGATGCCACACAGATGCCACACAGACGTCACAGGGATGCCACATAGATGCCACATAGATGCCACACAGATGCCCCATAGATGCCACTTAGATGCCACATAGATCCCACTCAGATGCCACTCAGATGCCACACAGATGCCACACAGACGGTAGCTGCTACACACCTGCTGCATCGGCTGCTGGATGAACGTGTGTTGTTGCAGCAGCGGCTGGTTCAGGAGGCCCCCAGAGAAGGCCCCTGGAGCTGGGGTACTGGAGGTAGAGTACCCCTGTCCTGTGGTGTGGAGGGTCACCGGCTGAGCCCCCATCAGGCCCCCATGTCCCGCTGAGGGCCCCGTCACCACATAGCTGTTCATCTGCTGCTGCGGCGCCCCCTGGAGGAGCAGGTGAGGAGGTGCATGGTGGTGGTACAGGGAGGAGTAGTAGCGTGAGTCCTGAGCTGGAGGCGTGGCTTCAGTCTGAGCCGACTGAGTCAGACTCATCCGACTGAACTGAGGGTGAAGGCCGTCAGGCTGCGGAGGAGCGAGGAGAGGGAAGAGAAACATTAATACAAATAATAAACATGAAGAAGGATAACAACAGCTGTGAGTCAGTGTGAGAGCTCCATCTAGTGGTAGAAGACACAACTGAAGGATTGCATCATTCTTTGTTTATGTATTTATGATTTGAATGCCTGGGTTTTGTTCAGCACTATCATGTTATACTATATACACAGTTAGAACTTCATTTGGAGGTTTTTGTTTGGACAGAGATCAGAATCTGGATGAAACGAGCATTTGGAGACGTGTGTTTTTCAGACGTGTGTTTTACTGTTTTTTGTTCCCAATTTGAACCTGGGTTAAACAGCCGTGTGCGAACAGTGGAAACGCTCAGAAAAGGAGATTTTGGACAAAAAGAATGAATGTGTCTCCAGTAAAAAGTGTCTTTAGAGACAGATTTATAGATCGATGGTAAATAGAAAATGCCTCGATCCTTATTTACTCACAAACTAGAATCCTGCACAAAAACAAACTATTTCTGTCCTGGATCTATCTAACCTTCACAGAGAGCTCTGGTCCCGGAGCAGAGAACAGTGCTCTGCTGTGGCTTAATCTGGCTAAAATAATTACTTTTAATGAACTTTGTCTGCGTTTGTGAAAATACAATATGTAAAGATTGGGCTTTAAGCAGGATTAAATGGATTCATTACAGACAACAGCTCGAGTGGTTCTAGACCAGGACCAGAGCAAGGGCAGAGCCAGCAGCCCATAGGTCACAGTGTATTTTCATTTATCAGTGTCCAAAATCAATACAGCCAAACCACCAGGGGGCGATGGCCCGTCTCAAGCTAAGTGCAGAATCAAAGGCGTTTGTTGCATTGACTTTCTCCTGAAGGTGTAAACAAAGACCTCTAAACCAGGTCTGACCCAGGGACCAGGTCTGACCCAGGGACCAGGTCTGACCCCTGGGACCAGGTCGGACCCAGGGACCAGGTCTGACCCCAGGGACCAGGTCGGACCCAGGGACCAGGTCTGACCCTGGGACCAGGTCTGACCCTGAGACCAGGTCTGACACAGGGACCAGGTCTGACCCCAGGGACCAGGTCTGACCCCCGGGACCAGGTCTGACCCCAGGGACCAGGTCTGACCCCAGGGACCAGGTCTGACCCAGGGACCAGGTCTGACCCAGGGACCAGGTCTGACCCAGGGACCAGGTCTGACCCAGGGACCAGGTCGGACCCAGGGACCAGGTCTGACCCTGGGACCAGGTCTGACCCTGGGACCAGGTCTGACCCTGGGACCAGGTCTGACCCCAGGGACCAGGTCTGACCCCCGGGACCAGGTCTGACCCCCGGGACCAGGTCGGACCCCAGGGACCAGGTCGGACCCCAGGGACCAGGTCTGACCCAGGGACCAGGTCTGACCCCAGGGACCAGGTCTGACCCCCGGGACCAGGTCTGACCCCCGGGACCAGGTCTGACCCCCGGGACCAGGTCGGACCCCCGGGACCAGGTCTGACCCCCGGGACCAGGTCGGACCCCAGGGACCAGGTCTGACCCAGGGACCAGTCTCTCTAGGTCACTGATCTACACTGGATTATTCAAACGCTAACATCTGGTGCT